TCAAATTGTACACAGGTCTGCTTACAACTTTATGTATCTGTTGAAGAAAAACTTGCGTAGCTTGTCTTGCTCTGTCCACCTGTAATGCTCCACTGGGGATTAATTCATTACTTGCATTGCATGTCATCTATATTAAGAGTGAACTCGTATAAATTCATCGGTAATAAAGATCCAAGCATTATTCACAAAGCTACTTAAATCACCTGAAAGTATAATTTTAAAATAAATTGTACTTCCTTTCGAAATCACGACGCGCGCCATCATTGGAGGGTGACGTCACTAAGAAGGAATCTACCATAACTAACAGTTCCATTTGGTCTGTTATCATCCGGCACGGGCTGGGCGGCTCACACATTGATCTGCGGTATGAGATAAACTTCTTGTTTAATGGAACCAGAAGTAAGTTTCAGAGATTAACGTTCTATCTTGTGACAAAAACATGATTATCCACGATGGAGGTTGACGTCAGCCCGTGCGGTTAAGTGTGTCGTACTGTGAAGGCGAACGCGTCTGGCATTTGTCTTCACGTTTCTTTGGCTTGTAGAAGTGATAATAAATTACATTATTACATTTTGGATTACATTTTCTGCTACAAACATTATTGGATAAATATTGTTTACTTAACGAGTCTTAAACATTGTATTGTTCAGATAATTTTTTATAATACTTATCAACTTTCCCTCAAAATCCGTAAAACGACCCAAACTTACTTAACCTCCCGACCGTAGAATATTAGTTTGGTCAAGTCTGGTAAGGAAGGTTGAGTTAACATTGTTTTGTTTCGTCTGTTTTAAAAGAAGTGCTTGACACTGGAGCCTTACTGACCACAAATAACAGCGTCTTCGTCATTAATTCATAAGTATGGTAACAGTTAATTATTATTTAGCTTATTTTCATTATTTCTACAGTATTATAATTGCACCATTTTTTATATTATATTTGGAATTTTTTGCCAGTTATTCACTATTACTTTTATCATTTATTCTACGTGTTGTGTGGGTGGGTGGGGGGGAGGGAGACATTCATTATCTTTGTACCATCTCTCTTCTGTATTATTTTTGTAGTTAACAATCCTTAGTCTCTTTTGTGGTTGTAAGGTTTTTGGAAGTGTTGGGTGGGAGTTACTGATGAAAATAAGAGGGAAAATAATGGTAACTGCCCAGAGGAGCCACAGTCTTTCTTTCCCATTAATATAGTGGCTCAGTCTTAATGGCGCCCAATCTTAAAGAGCCCAATCCCTAATTGCTTCCAACCCATTAGTTCTGAAACCTACTGTAGATCCTAATGGTTTTCAATCCTTAATGGTACTGAACACCAGCGGCTTGAGGTGTTGTCCCGGTCAATTACTTCTGACATAGTACACTACTAAGTTACTTTTAACCCTTATACTGTTCCTTGTGTAAGTAACTTTAAACTTGCATTACGCTATTGCTTCTACTTCTACTTATAGCACCCCCCCTCCAAAGTAAAGTGCATTTGTCTACGGTAGTTACGAAGGAAACACACACACACTCACTCACACACACTTAAGATATTGCTCTGGCTTACACCGTTAAGATTATCAGAGGGAGGATTGTCAGGGCGTGTCAGCAAGAGAATGGTGTCAGTAGGGATCAGGATATTGATTTTGATGTCTTGCTGTCGTCAGGAAAATGTTATCATTAGGTTGATGGTGATAATAGTAAGTGTAAGGAGAATGGTAGCGATTGGATAGTGATGTCAGCGAGTGCCAAAGGAATGGTGGTGTCAACAGCTGTCATCAGGTTAATGGTGTCAGTGAGTGTCAAAAAATGGTGGTGTCAGTAGCATGATGGTGTCAGCAAGTATCAGGAAAATAATATCAACGTTGATGGTCGGGAGAATAATGGTAATAAGTCAGCATGGTGTCAAGGAAATGGTTTGTGGCATCTGGTAGCAGCATGTTGTCAGGAACTGTTGGGTGAATGACACTTCCTGACACTCGTGGTTCGCCAACACCCCCACCTAACTACACTGCTATCAGATTACCTCGTGATAACCTCGTTCACCTCACCCCTGCCGACGACGTGGCTGCTGGGTGGCGCTGAAAAACGTGGAATCATCGGTGTGTTTGTCGTTCGTCCCCAAAAATTAGTGACTTGACTCTAATGTCGGACAACAATCCCCTTTTAGAATCCGCCAGAGCAGGGTTTCAGTTATTGTTCTAGTATATTTATAATAACGGTACAGATAAATAAAAGAGTACAGGTGTACATATACAGGTACATATAAAGTACTGTACAGGTCCATTTACATGCATAGGTAAAGTATGAATTTACAAATACAGGAACGTACTGTACAGATACAGATATACTGATGCAGGTACAAATACAAACTGGTGCAGGTACATCTACAAATACAGGTACAGTCGTGAACTGAAGTCCTGTCGCCCCTTCTGCTGCTCCACGATCCCTGAGATTCAGACTCATGAATCCGAAGCATTTATGGGCAGAATAATGCACCAGTGTCTACTGCTTCGGGTTCATGAGTCTGAATCTCTTGGTTCGCGGAACAGCAGAAGGGGCGACAGGACTTCTGTCCACGACTGTACATGCGCAAATATAGGTATAGATAAAAGTACAGATACTGATCCAGGTACAAATGCATATGCAGGTACAGATACAAGTACAGGTGCAGTGAATTTACACGTAGGCATATTTGGAATGAATGAAAGGAGGAGAGACGGTGAAATGATAATAAAGTTAATTAATTGCTGATGATCCTGAGAGAGAGAGAGAGAGAGAGAGAGAGAGAGATTGGTGGAGAAGATAAGACGTGAAACAGCGAGACTGGCCTTCCTCCTGCCTGTATCATGTGAAGGTTGGATGACTCCTGCATCACATGATCTGGTGCTGGCAGAGCTCACCTCCCCTCACCTCCTCCACCACCACTCATCACCACCTCATTCAACACCACCTCTCATCATCACCACCTCTCACCACCACCTCATCCATCACAATACTGCATCCTCCCACACGCCACCAACACCACACCACTACCTCCCACCAACACCACACCACTACCTCCCACCAACACCACACCACTACCTCCCACCAACACCACACCACTACCTCCCACCAACACCACACCACTACCTCCCACCAACACCACACCACTACCTCCCACCAACACCACACCACTACACCAACACCACACCACTACCTCCACCAACACCACACCACACACCACACCACACCACTACCCCACCAACACCACACCACTACCCCACCAACACCACACCACTACTTCCCACCAACACCACACCACTACCTCCCACCAACACCACACCACTACCTCCCACCAACACCACACCACTACCTCCCACCAACACCACACCACTACCTCCACCAACACCACACCACCACCTCCCACCAACACCACACACTTCCCACCAACACCCACACCACTACCTCCCACCAACACCACACCACTACCTCCCACCAACACCACACCACTACCTCCCACCACAACACCACACCACACCAACACCACACCACCACACACCACACCACTACCTCCCACCAACCACACCACACCACCACACACACCACCTACTCCCCACCAACACCACCACACCACCACCTCCCACCAACACCACACCACAACCTCCCACCAACACCACACCACCTCCCCACCACACACCACACCACTACCTCCCACCAACACCACACTACCCACACCACCACTCACCACACCACACCACCACCTACCTCCTCCTGACCACTACACACCACACCACACCTCCCACCCACACCACACCACTACCTCCCACCCACCCACACCACTACCTCCACCACACCACACCCACCCACACCACTACCTCCACCCACACACACACACCACTCCCACCCACACCACACCACACCTCCCACCCACACACCACACCACTACCTCCCACCCACACCACACCACCACCTCCCACCCACACACACCACACACCACCACACCACCCCCACCACACCACCCCCCACCAACACACACCACCACCACCACCCACCACACCACCACACCACCTCCACCCACACCACACATGACCACACCACCAACCACACACCACTACCACCCACACCACACCACACCCACCCACCTCCACCCACACCACACCACACCACCACACCACACCACACACACCACACCACACCACCAACACGACCAACACCACACCACTACCTCCCACCAACACCACACCACTACCTCCCACCAACACCACACCACCCTCCACCACCACACCACTACCTCCCACCCACACCACACCACTACCTCCCACCCACACCACACCACTACCTCCCACCCACACCACATCATTATTTCCCACACCACCAATACCACATCATTATTTCCCACACGCCACCAACACCACTTCACCACTACTACCATCGCACCATCTTTTTTAAAACCATGCCATACAATACTATCACCACCACCATCACGACTTCTACCACCTATAACACTACCACCACCTATAACACTACCACCACCTATAACACTACCACCAACACCATTACACCACCACCAACACCATTACACCAACACCATTACACCACCACCAACACCATTACACCACCACCACAGTTTCCTTCTGAGCGCGTCTATCCAAAACATTAGGTATAATTACGTCACATTTCGATTTTATAAGTTTTTCAATGAGGCGTCAGTCAGCTCTATGTATGGTAACCTTGAAATGTTTCACACACTAGCTGAGAACTTTTTTATTATTATAGTACTATGTCCTTATCCTCTCTCTCTCTCTCTCTCTCTCTCTCTCTCTCTCTGAGACACACAAACCTCGCCCTCTACTCATAACTTATTCAAAAGTCATGTTTGTCTTTGTGATGTGTGAGTGTTTGCGTCATGTACATATATGTCTTTGCGTATGTGTGTCTGTATAGGGCGAGGACTTGTGGGTCACCCGTGAGAATGTTGGCGCCGGGGACGTGTGTGTTTTATGTGTGCGTGTTTGTGATTTATGTTCATTTGCTCACATAATAGGCTGTGAGAGTCGGTGTGCGGACGTTTGGGCGGCCGGACGTTTACCCACATTACAATCCTGGAAAGAGTTAGGAGGAAACATTAGTAGAGGAGGTGGGGAAGTGTGTGTGTGGCGACATCATAATAGTGACTAAATACCAAATTAAAAAAAATATATATCATAGTTAAAAAAAACAAAATAATATCAAATTGAAAATAGAAAATATTATTTAAAAGGACACTTTATCTAATTTAAGAGATGGTGAAAGTAAACACGGAATGGGATTAATCAATTTTAAATAGTGTTTTGTTTAATTTTATATGCATTTATTTTATTACTTTACGTAAGGAGAACACAAATGTAAAGAGTTATTGAATATTTTTATTAGGGTATTTATTGGCCAGGATAGTCTGCGGGGAGCCATTAGCCAAAGCTTTCTCTTTCTTTCTTTCTTTCTTTCTTTCTTCCTTTCTTCCTTCCTTCCTTACAGCTTAGTTTTGCCATTTTGTGTTCATATCCTCATCCTGAATAAACAGAATTTCAGTTAGCAAAATAGGATCCCCTGATGAATCTCCACCCCAGCTTATTTCACCTAAAGATTAACCACCCTAACGCTAAACTCACCCAACCTAACCTAATCTCATCTCCCTAAATAGCGTTAGGGTGGTTTAATCTTTAAGTTAAATAAGCCGGGGTGGAGATTATTCAGGTGGTATATAAGATATAAAAATGTGTATACAGATTCATTCACCACTCTATATGTTGGGGGGCGGATGTATATTTAATGAGATGACTGGACAAGAACTGGTCAGACTGGGTTTAAAGCGTTGAAGTAATTATAATCGTAATGAAATGATATAAAGGCCAAGTGGGAGAACATGTCTTTGATCCTTGCTTTGTTGGGTGAAAATATATTGTCTATGTAAATTATTATATATAGAGACAGCTACTAACTAATCCTAACTTAACTTGACCTAAGCTAACCTGTCATGACCGTATCTGCTCTAACTTAACCTTATCTCCTGCTAACCTTAGTTGTAACGGCCTGGCCTGACCTGACCTGACCTGACCTGATTAAACTATCCCATATTAAACACCCTTAACCAACCCAACCCAACCCAACCCATCCCATTAGCCTAACTCATCCAAAATTACGGGGAGTGGACAGTAATGTCAGCAAAAATGAGGAAGAAAACTAGGACAGTGTGTGACGGCGACATAAAGTACCAGGAAGAGATGCAGACGGTACCCGGGTCTCCCCAGTCTTGTAAACACATTATGACGTCATACCCGGGTAGGGGGAGTGCTCGCTTCCCCCTTTCTTGTAATGTAAACAGTAGCGGGGCTTGAGGGGAAGGTTGGCGCCTCTGTGTGAAAAACATAAGAAAATAAGGAGTCTGCAATAGGCCGGTTGGCCGGTTTTCGGTAACTTGTTCCATTCATCCACTACTCATTTCCAAACCATTGTTCACCTATACCACGTCTAAATCTATTTTTTTTAATTTAAAACCGTTCCTAAGCGTTCACTTCTCACTAGTTAGACCAGATACGTTCACCTACCGCTATTTGGGAGACTAGACATACAGAATCTTTGTAAATATTGGAAACTGGAGGTCATTAATTTGTCGTAAAGTTATCGTCAGTGAACGCTATTCTTCAAGAGTTGGTGGGAAGTGTAGTCAGTACAGTAAAACGTTACTCTGACCACCTATGTGATACGGGTAGTCCCTATTAGAGGTTCACAGCGCCATAAGCTCGTTGAACAGGCTTTGTGTGAAATATAGCAGAGTCTAGGACTGCTTTTAGTATCCTGGTGGTCCAGAGGTAGCGTTCCCCGGTCAGTCATGGGCTTGTGGGCCGTGGGCTCGAATCCTGGCGGGGTGAGGTGTTGATTATGTGTAGAAGTCCGCGTGCTTTATTGGGCTAATGAAATATACATTTATTGTGTTGAGCGAGAACTAGCTAATGAGAGCGGAACTGAATGATAATTTTTTTTTACGTTGAATTTAGCAGTTTTTTCTAACTTAGCTATTTTTGCTGTTATTGTTTATTTTGTTTATTATTTATTTTTGTTTTTATTGCATGCATTTGTTACATGTTCTTTTATTATCAGATAATTTTATATTATTTATAGTTACAGGTAAGTATTGAGCAGGTGTTGTTACTGTATTCTCATAGTTTTTATTGAAGTGTGTTTTGACTTGAGTGTAAGACTAACCTTAGCTCTTGGTGGTGCATGGTAAGTGTTAAGTAATGGTAAAGTGCTTCAAGCTGCGTATTAATTCTGGGGAGAAATGTTAAGAAGCTCTCCTTTAACATAATGTATTTGTTATAATACAGAACCGACCAACCTAGGAAATTAAATTGACTAAATATAACGTCTGGGTGGTTTCATTAATTAATGAACAACATTAACCATGACAGAAAAATGTAAGTCTTTATCCTGACACACACTGTCTCAGGGCATAAATGTAGAGGTGATGCTGTTGATAGGTTGACACTCCCTAATCCGAAATCCTTGGGGCCACATGTGTTTCCGATTTCAGAATGGTTAGTTTTTCGGTTTTCGGAATTTCGGATAAGGGGTTGTCAACCTGTATGTGGATTAATTCCTTGACATCCTCACTGGCTGGCGCGGCATCTACCACGCGCCACCTTCAGACCCTCACTAGTTCCGTGTTGACAGTCCGCCTCTCACTACCTTTTGTCCTGAGTAAGACTAAACACATGGGCTGCATGAAGCGTCGTCCAGTTGTTGTTCCAGAAGCTTCAGATATGAGAGTGAGACGCGGGTTGTAGTTTTATAGTGCCGGGGCAGGTACCTTGTTGAGGGAGTCTTGTCTTGAGGTCTTGCGAGAAATTCAGGTGGTATGTTGCTTGTTGATGTGGTTGTTGTTCTTGTGGGTGTGATGGTTGTTTTTGTGGGTGTGGTTGTTGTTCTTGTGGGTGTAGTGGTTGTTTTTGTGGGTGTGGTTGTTGTTCTTGTGGGTGTGATGGTTGTTTTTGTGGGTGTGGTTGTTGTTCTTGTGGGTGTGGTTGTTGTTTTTGTGGGTGTGGTTGTTGTTTTGTGGGTGTGGTTGTTGTTCTTGTGGGTGTGATGGTTGTTTTTGTGGGTGTGGTTGTTGTTCTTGTGGGTGTGGTTGTTGTTCTTGTAAGTGTGTTGTTTTGTAAAGTGGTTGTTGTTTTTGTGGGTGTGATGGCTGTTTGTGTTGCGTGGTTGTTGTTCTTAAAGGTGTGATGGCTGTTTTGTGGTGTGGTTGTTGTTCTTGTGGTGTGATGGTTGTTTTTGTGGGTGTGGTTGTTGCCTTGTGGGTGTGTGGTTTTGTGGGTGTGGTTGTTGTTTTTGTGGGTGTGATGGCTGTTTTGTGGGTGTGGTTGTTGTTCTTGTGGGTGTGATGGCTGTTTTGTGGGCGTTGTTGTTCTTCTTGTGGGTGTGATGGTTGTTTTTTGTGGGTGATGTGGTTGTTGTTTTTTGTGGGTGATGTGGTTGTTGTTTTTTGTGGGTGATGTGGTTGTTGTTTTTTGTGGGTGTTGTGGTTGTTTTTGTGGGTGTGGCTGTTATTCTTGTGGGTGTGATGCCTTGATCTTGTGGGGGGTTTTATGGGCCTGGTAGTTGCTCTTTTGGCTGTGGTCATTATTGTTGCTCATGTTGTGGTTGCTCTTGTGGGTGTGGCGGTGGTGGTTGTTTTTATATATTTTATTTATGTACTTCAACTACCAAGGCCTATATGTGACAAACCATTCCTTTCTTTACTGGGGCAGAAGGGTCAAGTGTTAATGCACTTAGTGGGGATAATCATAGGCGCTAGACTCCACAAAACTACAGGAGGATCTAAGCAAATTTTTCGAATGGTCTGAAAAATGGCAGATGAAATTCAACGTGGACAAATGTAAAGTACTCAGTATAGGAGATGTAAACAGGGAAACCAGTTACCAGATGAACAACAATGCCATTGAGAAATCCAAGTGCGAGAGAGATTTAGGAGTAATGATAAGTAGGAACCTTAAGCCAAGTAAATAATGTGTTTTTCTCGTAACAAGGCTAATAAAGTACTTGGGTTCATACAAAGGAGTGTTAGTTACAAGACTAGCGAGGTCATCTTACGATTATATCTTGCGCTTACGTGACCTCACCTGGATTGTGCAGTTCAGTTCTGGTCACCGTATTACGGAATGTATATAGAATCCTTGGAAAGAATTCAGAGGAGAATGACAAGACTAATCCCGGGCATTAGGAACGTTGAGTATAGAGACAGGTTAAAGCATCTTAATTTGCACTCCCTTGAGAGACGTAGAGCGAGGGGCGACTTGATAGAGGTGTATAAATGGAAGTCAGGGCAAAACAAAGGGGATATTACAAAGGTACTCAAACTATCCAACCAGGAGCGAACTCGTAACAATGGTTTGAAATTAGACAAATTTAGATTTAGGCGCGAAATAGGTAAACACTGGTTTGGAAACAGAGTAGTGGATGAATGGAACAAGTTACCAAACATCATCATTAACTCGAATACGCTGGATAGCTTCAAACATAGGTTGGATGCTTATATGAGCAATAGGGGTTGGGTGTAAACGGGATTGCCCAGTATGGGCCAATAGGCCCGCTGCAGTTTCCTCCATTCTTATGTTCTTGTGTTCTTATGAAGCGAAAGTGTTGGTTTACTGTGTTTTGGGAGTATTATGATGTCAGTGATACAGTCTCTCTCTCTCTCTCTCTCTCTCTCTTTGATAAAAACAAATTTTATGCGACACGGTCACCTACCCCTCCTCTCCCTGCCTCACTCCCTCTCCCTTTGTCTCCCTCCCTTCCCTTCTCCCCCCTCCCTCCCTCCACGGACCTTATCAAGCAGTCGGCCACATACAGTATAGACAAGTTGTAATATATGTTGTAGCGGTAGTAAAGTGTAGCGCGAACGTGTTAAGTGATACTGGAGTGGCAGAGGACAAGCTGGACCTCCACACCCAGACGCTTGGTATACTACGTACCACATTGTTGACAAAGGAAAGGTGGTGGGGGTGTTCTCTCTCTCTCTCTCTCTCTCTCTCTCTCTCTCTCTCTCTCTCTCTCTCTCTCTCTCTCT